TTTATGGAGTACGTGTCATTAACGAACTTTAATTGAACCTAGGACTTTTAACAGGCTTTCGACATAGGCTTTTTTGACATAGACATCTTGTGGTTAGGCACAGGCTTCCTGTTCTATTGCAAGTTCCAACTCTATGTGGCTTTTAATATAGAAATATAGGGGCTCTAAGAGGCTGTCCAGCCTGACCCAGTAGGTTTCACACTTAATGTCCAAATCTCACTTTACGTCTGCTTTATCATGGTCTGATGAAACCAAGGTTGAACTTTTTGGCCATAATTCAAAAACATATGTTTGGTGCAAAAACACTATCACCAAAAAAGTACATCATACCCACAGTGAAACTTGGTGGTGGCAGCATTATGCTTTATGCTTTGGGGCTACTTTTTTTCAGCTGAAACTGGGGCAAAGGGAAAGTTAAGGTGAAGGGAATTAGGAACACAGTTCCAAGTATCAATTTTGGTACAAAACCTCTGCTAAAATGCTGAAGATGAAAAGGAATTTCACCTTTCAACACCACCACCATCCAAAGCATACCTGCAAATCAACAAAAGAATGGTTTTACCAGAAGATTAAAGTTTTGGAGTGGCCCAGCCAGAGCCTGGACCTGAATCCAATTGAAAATCTGTGGGGTGACCTTAAGAGGGCTGTGCAGAAGAGATGTCAGAATCTGACAGATTTTGCAAGAAAGAGTGGGCAAAGATTCCCAAGGCAAGATGTGCCATTCTGATAGGCTCCTACTCCAAAAGACTGAATACTGTCATAAATTCAAAAGGTGCTTCAACAAACTATTAGTTTAAGAGTATGTACACTTATGCAATTTTTAGTTTTATTTCTCCCCTAAATGATTTGTTTTTCATTTCAATTGTACAGCTTGTAGGTTATATTAAAAGTGGAAAGAAATCAAATGATTTATCTTGGTCTGATTTTTTAGATCTCAAAAACCTGGCACTTTAAGGGGGGCGGGATGCAAACTTTTTATATACACTCTATCCATCACTGTGGGAACCCTAATCTAGTGTTGACTGCTATTATATAAACCAATATGCTGGTTTTTAACCTGCAGCTGTCAGAGGATCCAGGTAAACAATAGTTATCCAGATGTACTCCACTTTTCAAGGAAGAGTTATACTCAAAACTGGCATGAGAAATACACTGAGCTGCAGCAGAAAGCAAGCTATTTTTTACCTTTCATTGGGAAGGAGAAAAGCAACAAGATGATTTTGAGAGACTAGGAAAAGGATGGGGAATAGGAAAAGCTGATAACTGATACTATCAAGCTCTAGTCTAAGACAATCACTTAAACAGCATTGGGAGTGGTTTAGGATAGTGCCTGCAGGAGTGGAAAGCTAGAGTTTCTGAGTCTCTAAGAGATGGGCAGCATATAAGTTTAATAAACAAACACTGGTCACATTTTGTTCAGGCCATTAGTGACAGAGAGAAACCTATTCCAAGTTAATCATATCCCTGCCACAGATTTAAATGGGATTACTTATTCGCTATTTTTCAGCAAAGTTCTCAACTCACTAAAACACAAAGTAGTATACTTCAACAAGACCTAAGACTGTAAGTCTTATCAATACCTTATCAATATTACACTTCTTTTATCTTCTGTAAGGTAAGCTAAGCTAAAAAGCGGAAGAGCACCAGGTCCCTCACTAAGGTTCACGGCGTAATGGAGATTTCATGCAAGCCCTTACTTGAAACTTTTTCCCGGTCCCACCCCATCTCATATTATATTAGACCTGTGAAATTATGTATTAATTTGAATTTTAGCCGCCCAACTCCAATGGACTCTAAATGGCCCACCCAATTCGGATGTGAAAGGGCTTCGGAGTTGCTTTATTTTGTTCGTATAGTTTGGGCCTAGGGAAAGCAATTTGCCGGGGGGGGGGGCAGGCACCATCCATCTCTTATAGCCTGGCAACACGATATAGAAGAAAACCTGACGCCTCCAAGCAGCACAAAACGCCGCCCCGCCTTCAACCTCCCCCCAATGTGACTCCTTCACCTGCACTTTCCTCCGCCCCGCTGTAGTCTGTCGGTGATGACCCGCCATCTTACATGTTGACACTGTCGTCATGACCGAGAAGCTTAAACCGTCCGGAAGTCCCACCTCCAGAGGTGGGACTGCTGTGTCCCCTTCTTTAAAATTCAGGCACACAGGCGTCATGGAGTGGAAAATGGGTTTTTAATGTATAGGTGTGTTCTGCACGGTTGCTAGAGCAGCGGTTGTCCCAAAGGTGTTTTTTCCAAAAGGCAACTGGACTTTGTTTTTTTTTTCTTTGAAAACGTTTCGCTTCTCATCCAAGAACCTTCTCAGGTTTTGGAAAAGCATCTTTGAGATAACCATGACCAGGATGACTGAGAATTTCCACAGACATATAACAACGGTTATTGTGAAGCCACGATCGAGATTTTTTTTTGTCACGCGAGATTTAGACAGGACGTTATCGGCTGCAGCAGGCGGGCGTGTTCCACCCCGCAGGCGTCGCAATATAGCATAAGCTAATTAAACTAACAGAACTGCATGCTGTGTTTGTGTTGGTTCTGCTCATCAATAAACAGTCTTTCCTATCAGCTGTTATTTCCAGCGTCTTCCTCCCAGCTTGGAACTGAATCAGATGGATTTTCCTTCCAACACCGGCTTCTCTTCGTCGGAGAACTGAGTATAGCTCTCACCTTTCTTCGTTACTGCGTCCGTAGTGTATCCCTACATGGATGTAATTGCTGTCTCTTCCAGTCTAATAAGCACATCGTCTGCACAGCTCATAACTATATTATTTATATATAGTATACACAAGGACGCTTGTCTAAATACTGTAGGAAGTTAAAACCCACCCCTCTGCTAGAAAACTGAACTATCCTGGGAAATATTAAGGCAGAATATTATATTTTCCTGGATGTGAAAAGGGAGAAACATGTTTTTAAAGACAAAGTAGATCCCTGTAGCTTCCTGCCCCCCCCCTTTGTCAATGAGCCATTAAAGCCTGGGTTAGTCTATTCTACATAACAAAGGTAGACTTAGCCTTGTACAGAAACTCACCACATGGCATCTAGGAACTCAACCAAACTTGGACTCAAAACACAGCCTAGATAGTTGCCCCTGCATGGTCCCATGGGAGTCTGACAACCAATCAGAATAAATTTCTTACACAGGAACAGGAAACAGGTGGGGCCGAACAGAGTATAAAAAACCCAGCAAGCCCCTTCTTCTCTCTCTCTTCTTCTTTACCCAACATCTGGAAGCATGTGACGCCCCCACCCCCTTTTCTGTTCAGGAGTTCAAGCCATGTGATCCTGTCCACCATTAAACCATTTTTCCAAGCAGCCTCCATGTTTCCACTGTCTTTTTCCCCACTTGGAACTGAACCCAGAAGGACATTTCTTCCAACAATACAAATATGGGGTATACTGAAGTGGGTCATCCTGAGAAAAGGTGGTGAGGCTATCATTATTAACAGAGTCAATACTGTTACGGTGCAGACAGCTTTTTTATAAAACTGGCCAGGGCCTCCTCCCTGCCCTGGGATTTCTTTGTTTCCTTGTCCAGGGCAACTGTGGCATGCTACTTTTGTGCCCCAGCATGGAGCTCATCTTTCATCTGATGGTACTTTGTGACCTCATCTACAATGAGACAAAATGTATCATCTGATATCTGCCTGTCAATTAGGAAAGTGGACTTTGATCTGATCATGTTTTTTTGACTTTGACCGTGAATCTGCAACTGACAAATTTACTGGCCACTGAAGGCCAAGGAGTGATTTCAAGACCCAAGGGAACTGGGGGCGTGATTATGGTAGACAGGTTGCCCATTCAACCAATGCCCATCCCTATTGTGAGCATTGCTGTGTCAATACCATCTAGGGCAGGGGTGCGAAACTTGCAGCCCATGGACTGGATGCATCATGTGCTGGCCACGCCCACCCCCATTTTAGCAAAGAAAAAAGTTGTGATACATCACGTGACGATGTGTCATCGTGAATTTGACACCCCTGATCTAGGGCATTGACCCCAGTAATGCAGAAAATGACAGGTTTAGACTTCTTAGGATACAGGAAAAGTTTATTTGGCAGCCAGGTTCAGAAAGTTAGCAAAATAGCTAACTTTGCAAATTCTGAACAACCTTCATTATCGAAGAACGCGTTCTCAAAGGCAGCATAACACGGAAACACTTAACTCATTTCTTATTGTTTACCTTGAGGAAAAAGCCTTATAAGGAGATGGGGTCTTACTTCTCCTTTTGTTACAGGTATGGACTACGTGTTATTAACGAACTTTATCTGAACCTTGTGGTTTGGACTTTTNCAGTATATATGTGACTGTACGAAATGAAAATGGAAAAAAATAAAAACACATTTATAAAAAAAAAAAAGTTGGACAGATATGTTGGCGTCAGTATTTGGTTGGTTGATGGTCGCTGGAGGCTGGCTCAAGCAGCCAAATGTTTAGTCGTACCACCAACTCCGTCACATGGTGATTTGGTGAAACAAAATCACATGGTGAAACTCATCTCTTTCTCTCTCTCTCTCATCTCTTTCTCGTGTGCGCACAAGCAGGATACCCTCCTGGGCCGTGATCATGGCAGCAGCGGGGACGGCGACTCCTCCTCCTGCCACCACTGCACAGTGAGGTGAGTAGCCGGCTGCGCTGCACTGCGGAGCTCTTTCCTCCCTGCATCCGACAACGGCGGCTGCTGGTCCTCCCCATTCCCCTCCTTCCTGAGCCGAGACGAAGGGGACCGTGGCTGGTGCTGAGCTGCTTGCAAAGGACACTGAATCGCAAAAAGCAGTTGGTTGCGGGCATTGCGGAGAAAATACTAGGGGAGCTTCACCCGTGCGGCTCTGCAGAGAGGCTCACGCCTTCTCGGGGCAGAGAGCAGGTCATGCGACCGGGTCGGCAGGGAGCCACAGGAGAGGGGCCAAAGTGCCACATGTGGCTCTAGGGCTGTGGGTTGTCAACACCCATTCTATATCATGAACACTTTAATTTCCTCACTGACCACAGGGTTGGACTTGAATGCCTAATTTGCCCTATCCAACTGTAATTACACTGATTAATAGCCCTACTTTTGGCAATATTTCTATTAGCATTCATTACTCTGGTCCTCTAGGCAGAGTGATATACATAATAATTAAAAGTATCCCAATATGGAAAGCTAGATTTAAAGAAAAGCATAAAGCTAAAAAAAAATCTGAGAATTTCAATTATACAGTGGATGTAAGAAGTCTACACACCCCTGTTAAAATACCAGGTTTTTGAGTTGTAAAAAAATCAGATCAAAATACATATTTCTTTCACCTTTAATATAACATATAATCTGTACAATTCAACTGAAAAACCAACTGAAATCTTTTAGGGGGACATAAAAATAAAAAACTTACAATAATGTAGCTGCATAAGTGTGCACACCCTCTTATAAGTAGGAATGTGGCTGTGTTCAGAATTAACCAATTACAGTCAAAGGTTTCCTCTGTCCAGTCAATTCCAACTCTAGGGGGCGGTACTCAGCTGTTTCTTTGCTGAGGGAGCCAGTGTTGTCTGAAGACATTTCCATGGTCATGTGGGCATCATGACTATACGCTGAGGTACATGGAACACTGTCACCTTCCCACCGAAGTGGCACCTATTTATCTATTCCCATTTGCATGCTTTTGAACTGCTAAGTGGGCAGGAGAATCACAGTCAAACTGACATTAAATACCGTAGTAGTCAGTACACACCTGCCATTAAAGTAACTCTAATCAAGCCCATGTAAAGTTCAGGTGTTCTAGCAAAAATTTTCTAACATTTACTCAGTTGCCTTTTAAAGCAAAAGCTATGGTCTGCAAAGAGCTTACAAAGCATCAAAGAGGTCTCATTATTGGAATGTATCAGTCAGGAGAAAGGTACAAAAAAATTCCAAACACTTGGATATACCATGCTACACAGTGAAGACAGTCATCAACACCAGAAAAAATATGGCACATGGTAACATTACCAAGAACTGGATGTCCCTCCAAAATTGATGAAAAAGTAAGAATCCCAAGGCTGCCAGGAGGCCTACAGCAACATTTAAAGGAGCTGCAGGAATTTATGGCAAGTACTGGTTGTATATTATATCAGTGTATAAGAATTTATGAACTGGAATAGCCATGGCAACAAGTCAGCCAATGGGAACTGTTTGGTGACTGAGACACAGGATTTGTTGTGTAAGCCATGTGAGACGGCTTGGAGCCTGATATGCCCCTTCTCGAGGCAGGTGGAGACAGCGGTCATGCATGGGTTAACTCAGTCAGTAACCAATAGAATGAGTCTACCAAAGTGATGTCATCGCCTCTGAGGAGTGTCCTCCCGCTTTGATGACGAAGGAGATAAGTAGACTGCTGTGCATTATTCAATTGCTCTCCATCCTTTGATGTTCCAGTATTGCTCCCAGATCTCCCACTGCGATTGCTCCCAGGTCTCCCATTGCGAACTAGGCCAGGACCTAAAGGGTGGGGATGACCACTGTCTCTACCTGCCTCGAGAAGGGGCGTATCAGGTAAGAACCAATGCCCCATTCTCCAAAGTTGGTGGAGACAGCGGTCATGCATGGGACGCACCAAAGCTGGGCTTGTTCTCGGGTGGGAATGAGACTGGGCTAGGAGCTAGAAGAGGGAAGAACCTGTTGAAGGACCCGCCGTCCGAATGCCGCATCTGCTGACGCATATCTATCCATCTTATAATGGCGGATAAAGGAAGTAGTAGTAGCCCAGGTGGCCGCCTTGCAGATCTGTTCCACCGAGGCCTGCCTTGTCCACGCTGCTGACGTGGGCGCGCTGCGTGTGGAATGCGCCGTGATGTTGGATGGAGGTGTGAGGTGATGTGCCAGGTAAGCTCTAGAGATGGCTGGCTGACCGGATCCAGCACCCAACCATAGATGGAAAAGCCTTTAGCCCTTTATTTGTGGGATGAAAAGACACGAAGAACACTTCGGTGTGCCTGAAGACAGCTGTCTTGGCAATATAGATCTTTTTTTTTTTTTTTTTTAATATACATTTTATTTATTTCATTTTCATTTTCATTTTATACAATCACTTATATACTGGGCGTAACAAAAAACAAATAGGAAAAAATCCCCCAAAAAAAAAAAAAAAAANTTGTGGTTTGGACTTTTGACACAGGGAGGTTGGCTGGAACATCTTGTGGTTA